CCTTCAAGTTGATTCCGACTCATAGTGACCCTATAGGACAGAGTAGAACCGCCCCACAGAGTTTCCAAGGAGCATCTGGTGGATTCGAACCTTTTGGTTAGTGGCCGTAGCTCTTAACCACTACGCCACCAGGGTTTCCAAAAGTCACTAAATATGCCTAAATTCTAAATACTTGGAATTCTTCCATAATAAAAGGATCTTTTACTGAAGAAAGAAAAACAAATAAACAAAAATCAAGTGGCCTGAATGAAAATAACATTGTCAGTTGGGTTAGGGAAGATGCTGAATTGGAGCAGGAAGTCGCATCGTACTCCATGGACCCAGGTTCCATTGCCAGCCCTGCCACTAGACGGCTCTGTGACCTTGGCCGTGTCACTCAAAGTCCCTGAGCCTCAGGTTCTGCTCTACGTGAGAAAGTGGAAGTAGATATGGCATGGAGAGAAGACTGAACCAAGAACCCAAGTTCTAGCCCTGAATCTGCTGCTAACCAGCTGCGTGACTCTGGGCAAATGCCAATCTTGCTAGGTCTCAAATTTCCCATCTGTAAAGTAAGAGGTTAGAGAAAAGGATCTTATAGGTTTCAGCCCCTTCCAATTTCTATGCCTCTGTTGAAAATCCTCTAATGCCAACAAACATGATGAGCCTCCAGACAGAAGGAACTGTAGGAAAGAATGTTCTGAAAAAAAGAAAAGAACTCCTATAATCTCAAGAAGTGGGATAGGTATACAGCCGCACAGTTTGCACCAGGCCTAGCTGTCTGCAAGCAAAAAAACAAAAACACTGGGTTTCTTATTCAGAATCAAAAAAATACCCATTTCCTCCACTACTCAAAAATATTTGAAAATTAGAATGGATGGGGTTTTAAAGATTTTCTAATATTATCTCTCACCAATCGAAGACTTCCCTTCTAACTTTCCTACAGGTGACATTGCTTGTATACTTCCAATGAGGGAAAGTCCTTCCTACCTTTGCAAAATTCTGTGGATTTGTGAGCACAGCCAATCTTTAAGTGTCAGGTGTAGGTAGGACAGGTATTACTTAGGGGCCTAGATTTCTCCCTGATGCTCGAGCCACAATGTCTGAAATTCTATCATTAGTTGTTTCTTTCTTTTGGTTCCCCTTCCTCAGGTCTCTTAAATTTTAAATAAGCATAGTAAGCTTTGCTATCAAACCAAAGTTCATAACTTAATGGATCACCTTCTGTCCATGAGAGCAGAAGGTCAGGTGCCCAGGAGCCCTGGGCAACTCTAGAAGAAGGAAGACTCTGAAGATGAGGGGAGAGGTGCCAAGAAAAAGTCCAGTTACCTTACAACTATTCTACCAGGCCAGGTGGGAGTATACGATGATGATGATGATGATGATGATGATAGGAAACAGCAAAAATCTGCGTAGTACCACATGCCAGGTGGAGCCCCTGGGTGGTGGAAACACTTAATGCACTTGGCTGCTAACCAAAAAGTTGGAAGTTCAAGTCCACCAGAGGCACCTTGGAAGAAAGGCCTAGTGATCTACTCTGGAAAAATCAGCCATTGAAAACCCTATGAAATTATTCACAATAACAAAAAAATGGAAACAGCCTAAGTGCCCATCAATGGATAAATGGATAAGCAAAATGGGGTACATACATACAATGGAATACTATGTAACCATGAATAATAATGATGAGTCTGTGAAACATATTATAACATGGATGGACCTGGAGGACACAATGCTAAGTGAAATAAGTCAATCAGTTAAAGACAAATACTGTATGATCCCTCTTTTATAAGAAGACAAGAATAGATACATATAAAGAGACCAATGTTCATTGGTGGTTACCAGGGAGGGGTGGAAGGAGGGGGGATCACACGCTAGATCACAGATACTTTTTTTTTTTTTTTTTGGTGATGGGAAAAGTGTCACCGAACATGGACGTAGAGAGAACAGCTCAACCCAAGTAAATGATGTACCTGAGATGCACTCAAAAGAAAAGGATGCTTGTACTAAAAAATTTTATATATATAAGATGACAACAACACCAACAATATCCAGAAAATGAATGTATGGTCACATATGTATGTGTGTTGGCATAGAGGCATATGGCTAAGTACAGGCGTATATATATGTGCCCACAGATAGAAGTACCTTTATGTATGCATGAGTACAAATATGTGCATGCAGGCACATATATTCATAGAAGACACAACTACAGATACTCCTCAGATATAACCAACCACCTTGCTAGATTGGTTTTCTAGGTTTGAAGGCTTAGGACATTAGTCTCATGGAACAACTCAGTTAATTGGTATAAGAGAGTTCACAAAGTTCATTTTCTGCATCCTAGTGAAGTGAGTAGTGTCCTGGTCTTAAAAGTTTGTGAGCGGCCATCTAAGATACAACTACTAGTCTGTACTCATCAGGAGCAAAAGAGTCTAAGAAGAAAACCAAAGTCTCAGAGAAGAAACAAGTCTACAAGCCTAACAGCCTACACAAGCCATGGCCTCATCTACCCTGAGATCAGAAGAAGTAGATGGTACCCAGCTACCACTACCGACTGTTCTGAATGGGATTACAATCCATGGTCCCAGACAAAATGGGAGAAAAACTCAAATTCTTAAAAAAGTTCAGACTAACTGGACCAGTTGAGACTGGAGGACTCCAAGACACTCTTTTGAACCTTGAACTGAAACTATCCTTTGAGATCACCTTTTAGTGAAACAACAAAATGCTGCACAAAATAAAAGATATCACCTGTAAGTATGGTGCTCTAATAAAAAGCCATCTATATGAGACCGAAAGATCAACAATTACTCTAAAGCAAAGCTGAGAAGATAAAGGGGCAGGGAAACTAGAATACTGGAAATGGAACAACCAGAACACAATTAAAGAGAATGTTGACACCTTGTAAAAAAAGGTAACTGAACAATTTGTATAGAAATTGTCAAATGGGAACCTAATTTACTGTGTAAACTTTCACCAAAAACACAATAATTTTTTTTTTTAATCCGATGGCATGCAGTTCTACTCTGACACCCATGGAGTCACCATGAGTCCGAGTTGACTTGAGGGCAACTGGTTTTTTAACTGCATATGCCAGGCATTCTTCTTAGCACTTCATGTTCTAATTCACTGTGAGCACGTTTATAAAAACCAGATACTTCACATGCATGTGTACATACAAGCATCCATTTGTGCTCATCCTTTGAGGCCAAAGGGCAGAGCTTTGCTTAGTGCTACTCCCAATCTGGGGTCTAAGTTATTGGATGGCCTTGAACAAGCATTTCATCTGCTCTGAGAAACTGCCCTCCATTTTGAAGATTCCAGCTCCTTTCCTCCTTCCCTCCCTTCTTTCTTTCTAAAACAAGGAGAAATGGATGCCACTTTGTAAGTTGGTACAATACGAAAAATATATTATTAGAGTCTAAATGCACAGCTTCTGTCTGGAGGTGAGATGGGAAGGCAGAAAGGGTCAGGAGCTGGTTGAATGGACATGGGAAATCAGGGGTGGAAAGGAGGAGTGTGCTGTCACAGTATGGGGAGAGCAACTAGGGTCACATAACACTGTATGCATACATTTTTGTATAAGAGACTAACTTGAAATGTAAACTTTCACTTAAACTACAACAATAAACAAAAATAATAATAATAATAGGAAAATTCATTATTAGAAGTGGTTGATTGTTTAGAGCTTTTCAAACTCTCTTCTTGTAGCACCCATAAAAAGTAAATGTGATGAGACTCCCACCTGGTGGCTAAAATCAACAGTGAAGATGAGAGGAAAATGTATGCATTAGTAATTAACCAGAGGGAATGGCGTCCTAGAGGCCAAGGCATCCTCAGGAGGAAGGTGGTCGCAGGTCCTGGACACGTCTCAGCTTGGCCAGCTACCCTACACTGCTAGACTCTCTGAACTGAGAGAAACGAGTCTGAGAAAGACCAGAAATCGAGGTGAAGAAAGGACCACAGGAAAGAGAAGCACAAGTTATGTTAAAAAGATGAGGCACAGGACCACCTCCTTCAGCTTTCTCTATATTAAGAAATATAGTGAACACTTAGCTCTTTTATTTGTCCAACTTTGAAGGACAGCTGTCTCAGACTTGCGCAACCCGATAGTAGAAATGTCTAACTTTTGAGAAAGATGCTCTGAAAACAGTGGAGTTAAAAAAAAAAAAAAAAAGAGGATAAATCCCAAGTCCCAACAGTGACACCTACTGGCCATAAAATGGTCAGGCAAGCATAACCTAAGCCTCTTCGTTATCACTCACAAATGTGCAAGTAACTCTTACTGGTCTGTGACAGTAGCAATTGCAGATGCGTTCCACTCAGAACCCTGGACAAGCTTATCCGTGTGTCTCGCCCATATTAGACCATATCATGTGTCTTGCCCCATTAGACAATACCTCAAGAGAGTAGGGATCATCCCAAGTTTGTGTGCCCAACACCGAGCTCAACACTTGGCAGTTAGTCACTGAAAATACAAGCGTCAGGGACAAAAAGGTTTGCTTGTGTTTTTGTTTCTCAGTGTATTAGAATCAACTAAAATCTCTTTAGCAAGCAAGTCAATGACAATATTGTGCTAAAGTTTGTATTAGATCAATATCCACCTGTCAGTTTGTCGTACTGTGGTGAATTGTGTGTTGCTGTGATGCTGGAGGCTGTGGCGCTAGTAATTCAATTACCAGCAGGGTCACCCAGGGTGGACAGATTTCAGCAGAGCTTCCAGACTAAGACAGACAAGGAAGAAAGAGCTGAAGATCTACTTCTGAAAATTAGCCAATGAAAACCCTATGGATCACAACAGAATATTGTCCAATACAGTGCTGGAAGATGAGCCCCCTAAGTTGGAAGGCACTCAAAATATACAGTAGCCACAACAATGGGCTCAAGCATACCAATGATTATAAAGATGGTGCAAGGCGGGGCGACATTTTTGTTCTGTTGTACATGTGGGTCACCATGAGTCAGAGCCTACTCAACAACAAGAACAACCAATCAGTGTTACAGATAATGGGACTGGCAACATGATCATCCAGAGGAAAGTAGGAAAAATAACCAGAGTAGCTAGCACTTCACAAGAGTTAGGGAATCAAAGTGGGCTCAAGAATATGAACTAATGTTTTCCCAAATGCTGAGTGAAGTCCCAAAGATTCCAAAAGATAGGATAATTAGGACCAAGAAAAAATGAAGCAGGTAAAACTGCAGGAATGCTTGCATACATACAGATGGATATCACAAAGACCTGCATGTCAAAGACAATACAAGGGGAATGCCCACACAAAAGTGAAAGCAGAAATCACATCTGGCCTGCCTGGAAGGTGTTCTCACTGGTCTGATAGGTAAGAACCAGGAATCCACTCTCTGTTGTAGTAAACGTAGGGTCACGGCCATGCACAATAACCGAGACAGAGAAAATTGACATGAATTGTGGCAAACGAGTATTATTTATTTAGAAAGAAAGAATGCTGTTTATATTTAAGCGCTGTAACAGGCTTTTGAGAAAAGCTGTTTGTTCCCTTCTTTGAAATCTCTGAGGAAGGACCAGTGTCCTTAAAGGAGGGGCTTGGCTTAGATGAACTCCTAGAGTCCCTTCCAGCTCTGTAAGGCAATGATTTAATCCTCGGTTCTGGTCAAAGGAAAACTGAGTCAGGGTATTACATTCTCACCAGAGAAGTATTACATTTAGTTGGCACGTTCATTAATCTGACTTTGGTTAAGAATCCTGTCTTCACCACTGGGTGACCCTAAGCAAGTTACCTCTCTAAAGCTTATTTCCTCATCTGTAAAGAAGTATTTTCCAGAAGGTTGTCATAATTAAGGAGATAATGTTTGTGAGCTGTTCAGCATAGTGTCTAGCCCACAACAAGGACTCAAAAGATTGAAGCTATTGTTACTGAGGATTAAATGAAAATCCTATTTAAAAAAATGAGCACTTGGAAATTCAAAATGCATGAATTAAATGTTGAAGCAATACAGTTTCTTTTATCTTCATGTAAGGGGCAGCATAATATTTTAGAAAAAAATCCACCACTAATCATGTGACTTTGGGCAAGTCGCTGAAACCTCCACATTTCTTTTTCTTCTCTGCAAAATATAAGTGCGAGTGGGTTGGATGGCTACTAATGTCTCTTCCAATCTTAAAGAATCTAGAATCCTAGAGAATACCAGAGCCTAGTATATGCTATACATTTATAATATACACTCTCGTAAACTAAGAAATAACCAGTAATTAATAGTATAAGTTAATTAAAAGCTTAAAATTCACAAGAGGCCTACAGTATAAGGTACCTTAAACATACAAGTCCTTAAATTATTCAAGGAATAATTAAATAAGGATTAATTGCTTGATATATAATTAAATATAAAATAATTGTCTTAATTTTAATGTTAGATATAATTTCCCCTTATATTTAGAGCAAGAAATTATTTTGAGCTTCTTATTCTATAAGAATTATATATACTAAGTCTAAATAAACCCACATTCCAAATTTGAGGACCCAAACTAATACTGCTGGACTGTAATTCAGGAGTCAGCAAACTTTTTCTGTAACGGGCCAGGTAGTAAATACTTCAGGTTTACTCAGCCCTACCCTGGTAATGCGAAAGCAGCCATGTGTTGCATTCCAATAAAACTTTATGAACACTGAAATTTTCATTTCATTCAATTCTCAAGCGTCACGAAATATTATTATTTCTATTTTTTTCAACCATTTAATAAATGTAAACCCATTCTTGGCTAGTGGACTGTACAAAAACAGGCAGCAGGCTGGATCTAGCCCACAGGCCACCGTTTGCCAAGCCCGCTATAATTATAGATTTGGGAGAATACAATAGTAATGTAGGAAATCCAGAACTGGCAGTATACCATTCTGGGATTTTCACCGGTGGGTGGTTGGCTTTACTGTACTGTTTTCATCGGCCGAGTCTAAAAGGACTTTCACTACCAACCAGTCTCCAGGGGTCCCGGTTTAAGCATAGTTAAGACAAGCCTGACACCTTGTGGCTGCACTAGCAGTGCCCGGTGCCACCCGGGAAGTCACTTATCCTCAGAAGGGGCGAATCCAAGGAGGGAAGGCGGAGGGGGCAGTGAGCCAGGCTACAGTTGTTGTTACTGCGGTTGTTGAAATGAGGCCAGATAAAGTCCAGAGTTCACTAATTGACTTCTCTCTCCGAAGACAGCTTCCAAAGAACTGTCCTTGGGAGCACTTTATTCTGTTTAAAAAAGAAACTCCCAGAGCCCAGTGCGTTCCCAGCCGGGATGCGAGGGCTCCTGGGACACTCAAGACTCTTCACTGGCTGGTTAGGTCTCCCACTTCCAGCCATCGGTATACATTCAGGAGGAGACAAAGGGGAGCTAGCAACACTGTCTCCATCCCACTCCTCCCGGATGCTTGCAAAGGATAAAGAAAAAAAATGTATAGGATGCAATTGCTATTGAAAACCAAATTAGGAGCTTCAGGAAGCGAAGATCAATGAATGAAATGTTACAACAGCTCTCAGGCAAAATGGAATTACTCACTGCCTGCCCAGCACACTGTCCCAGGGCTACTACGCAGTTGTGCTCAGATGAAGTGTTTTGCTCGTTTTTTGGAAAAGGGTTAAAAGGGCATTTTTTTCCATTCCTTTGACTCCAGAAGTGTTTCCTCCAAAACATCCAAGTGTCAAGTCATCCCTATCCTATAAGTTTTCTAGGAAAGGAGACTCTGCAATCTATTAGGTTGGGAAGTTCATCCTTTCATCTAATTCAACGTTTCTGAGAAAGCGCAGAGAAGGGACACTTGGAGGGAATTGGTGGCTTCCCCTGGATTTGGTATTAACAAAAGTACTTTTGCTGTTGTGACAGCGTCCCCTTTGGAGGTAACAAGCCCTGAGGGTTTGCCTTGTGTGCTGAGCCTCACTAGTTATGGAAAGGAGTCAGATGGACTAAAAGAAGCAGAGAAAACTCCAAAGGTCAGGAACGCGGCGGAGGCAGAAAACTGGGTACTCAAGGGTCAGTGAGGTGCCAAGCACTTAAAGGTCCTGATCCTGTCTTTCCTAAGTGATGACTCCAATGGACGTCCCCACTGATAACTCAAAAAAAGGGCTGAGGGGTGACTCTATAGCCTGTACTTGGAGAACACGACTCTCAAGCCAATCCAGGTCTGTGCCATTAAGACTGGGGATGGGGTGAACGACCTGAGCTTTGTGGTCTTGAGAGAGAAGACTGTAGACCAGCCACCCACGGGGAAACGGGGGGGTGGGATGGTGATCTGTTCCTGGAGCTAGGACCAATGCAGGGAAAGGAGCTGGCCATCTTTCATGAATCACTCAGACAACTGAACCGAATTCCACAAGGGAACAGGGAGTGTTCAGTGCTCCGGCTGTGTAGTCCTTGGACGTCTACTTCTCTCCTTCAGGAGTATTTACTTTCCCTCTGGGGTGACTCTACTTCCCTGCCAACCTCATTGTGACCTGTGCTTACCACTGTGCCTGTCCCAGTCCCGGGCTCCAGTTTCCCTCCTGCCCCCCAGCCCTCAGGACAGGGCACTAACAGCGCTAGTAATGTTAACCCGTGGTGTGAGGACTAGGAAGGCTACCTTAGGTTTTCAGCCGAGAGTCTGATTCTTCCCCACCTTCCTCTTTTGCTTTACAATTAAAAGCCCTGGAATTCCCCTCCCCTCCCCGCCCCCGATCTCTTTTCCGACACGGTAGGATCTCTGCAGTGACTGCAGGGATGCCAACACTGCCGCGGAGGCCAGTGCAGGAACCTCCTCGGAAGATGTGTCCTGGGCACTCTGCCCTGCGGAGGGAGCGGCCAGGGTCTCCCCAAGGACTCTGCCTAAGGCCAGCGCAGCAGTGTAGGGGTTAACGTGGGAACGCGTAAAGGCAAGGGGAAAAAAGTTAGAGTTGACACTTAAAGGGGGTGGGGGCGGATCTCGCTAACTCCTGATTGGTTTTACATTTCGTCCAAATTTTTTTCCTCCTCTCTCGCTCCCTCTTTTCAGTTTCTCTCTGATCCCAGGGGAGGGGAAACGGGAATAGTGAGAGATCAAAAATAAACCTCTTATGTCAAAGCCGGGAAGGAAGTATAAATACGGAGGGCTCGGCAGCCCACTCGGAGCTTCCCGGGCTGGGGAGGAGGCGCGAGGCGGCCGGCGAGGAAGGGGCGGAGGAGCGCACGCAACCCGGGAGCAGCTGCTCGCGCCCGGCGCTCGGCGGGAGGAGGCTGGGCCCGGCTGCCGAGGGGC